AGGATTTTCCTCTCCCATGTGTTGAGCAGGTTCTCTGCTTTTCTGGTGAGGGTCCAGGTCTCACTAGCGTACGTTACTACAGGTCTTATGATGGTGGTGTATATTGTCTTCTTTGTTCCCCTTGATAAGTTTTTGTTTCTCATTAGCTTTTGTAGACTGAAATAGGAACGGTTGCCTGCTGTTATCCTTTCTTTCACCTCTGTCATTATCTCATTGTGCTCATTTATAGTTGCCCCTAGATATTTGAATGTGTCCACTCTCTCAAATTTGTGGTTGTTTATATTGATGTTATCATCAGCATGGGAGTTTCTTGACATTATCATATATTTTGTCTTCGGTTCATTTATATCAAGGCCAGCTTTGAATGAGGCATTTTCAAGTTCCCTGAATGCTTTAATTACGTCATTTCGGTTTTTACCCAGTAGTGCTATATCATCTGCATATGCCAGGTACTGCAATGGCTGGCTATATAAGGTTCCTGATGGTCGTTGCTCTGTAGTATCTCTCTGGAAATAGTTTGTTATGGTTCCACTGGTGCTAATGTGAATGCTTCTAATAACTTTTTCTAGCGTGATGTTAAACAGGATACATGATAGTGAGTCTCCTTGTCTGAGGCCCCGATTAACTATGAACTCCCTAGAATATTCTCCCTGAATCTTGATTCTGCTTTTGGAGTTGGCCATTGTCATGTGTATGAGCCGGGTAAGCTTGTTAGGGACTCCAAGTTCTTGTAAAGCATTGTATAAGTAATTCCTGTTTACACTATCGTATGCTGTTTTGTAATCCACATATAGTTGGTGTATTTCGATGTTATATTAGTAGCATTTCTCCAGGAGACATCTTATAGTAAAAATATGATCCGTGGTTGACCTATTCTGCCGGAATCCACATTGATAGTCCCCTAGGATCTGTTCACTATACTTTTCCAATTTTCTCGCTATAAGTTTTGTGAGGATTTTGTACTTTACATTAAGAAGGGAGATACCTCTATAGTTTGAGCATATCAACTTAGATCCCTTTTTGTGGATTGGGATTATGAGTGCCGTGTTCCATTCAGTTGGCATTTCTTCCTCCTGCCAGATTCTGGTTATAAGTTCGTGTATTTGCCTATGCAGTTCGCTACCACCTAGCTTTATGAGTTCTGCAGGGATAAGGTCTATTCCTGGGGCTTTGTTATTTTTCATGGTGGAGATTACATCTTTTATTTCATTTAAAGTTGGTTGGTTGACCAGTGGG